TGTTTTTTTCAACCAAGTAAAATTATTTTATTTTTCAAAATCTTCATAATAAAGTATTTTCGAATATATAAAATGCGTGTGACAATCATTTCATATATTATATGGGGCATATGTGAAATCATGACTATAGGTTTGGAGAGAGAATGTTAATATATATATATATATAGTCCTAAACTTATAAAATTATGTAAATCTTGTATTTTTTAGGTCATTAACATATTTAATTTTCAAAAAAATTAAATTATTTATTAGATTAAATTAAATTATACTTGTAATACAGTTTTAAACTTTTTAATTTTATCAAATTTAAAAAATAATGAATTTATTGAAAGCAAAGCTAAAAAATGGTTTCATAAAAGACAAAATGAAAATAAATATAATTTTTAAAAAATTAAATAATTATCAAACTAGACCTTCAAAATCTATAAAACAATTTAAACACAAAATTAAAAATTTCGAGAATAAACTCTAATAATCTTTATTATTATTATTATTTTCTTTAGTCAACTTGGTAGATAGATTTCAAAATTTGAAACAAAACCCACTTTTTGCATCTCTATGATTGTTTGGTCACCCACTACACAACAAATGTAGACATTAATATATATATATATATATATCATATAGTTTAGGACCATATAATAAATTAAAATTAATCTCACATATTACCTTCCTCTCTGACTTTACTCTCTCTTGAAGTTGAAAAGGGTGGCAGCATTTTTGCATTATAATATAAGATATTTGGTTGCCAATTTGGTTGATTAGTAGGGCCAATATAATGGCCACATCAAGAACCCTAATTATATTAAAGCCATCATATGGGTTATAAAGATCGACAAAATATCATCATTCCATCAATAGTAACATTACCCTAATTAAAGTAAAGTTTAATTAACCCAAATTTGTTGCATGTCTTTGGATATATTGATCGTCTCGAGATGCTCTCTATTGAATCGGGATTATATCTGTTAAACTATCATGTACAGATCCAAATGTTTGAGTTAATGGATAACGTTCATTCAGTAAGTTTTGTGTTCGGGATTTAACATTTTGAGGTCACATTTTCATTTTCTCAAATCAAAACCCGATCTATTTTGAAATAAACAATCATTATCCGAACCCTAAATGAGAGATATTTATCGATCGTGAAGCTTTTTCCCTTTTTTTTCTCGGACCCAATCGGCAAAAAGGCAATGGAAAAGAAAGAGAGGTTTAAAAAAAGGTGACAGAAGAGGTAATGAAGAGGTTTGATTAAGGTTGTAAAGATATAGGAGGAAACAGACATGTTGTGTTCTGTTAGCCGTTGCAGAAAGGAAAATGCAAAAGGAGTTGAAATGATTGAAATGGCGTCGTTTTTGCTGGTTTGTTGACCACAGCTAAGCTTCTGAAGCTGTTCTTCAATGGTGGAAATTGAGAGGGACATATGGCAGCTGTGTGTGTGGTCCACCATTCAACACTAAATTCTCTTTCGTCCAATCCTTTTCCCCGTGAGATCTCACATTGGTTCGAAATGGAACTTGATGTCATTCTTTATAAATGTGTGGAAACCTTTCTTTAATAGATGCGTCATTATAAAATCATAAGGTTGACCGCGATACGTAATGGTCTAAAACGAACAATATCTACTGGCCGTGAGACATTTTTCCTTTTTTTATTTTTTTATTTTTTATTCATTTGTTCCTTCTATCTTAAAAGGATGTTTTTTTTAATGTTTAATGCGTTCGATGATGAAAGTCCACCATCTACTCATTTAGGGAATGATCATGGGTTTATAATCAAAGAATACTCTCTTAATTGTTATGAGGCCTCGCCATGAGAACTTATGTTCAAAGTGGACAATATCATACCATTGTGGGAAGAGTCGTGGTCGTCTATCATATTGGATAGGAACCAGAGTCATTGTGAGGAGAGTCGTGTTCGTCTGAACAAGAGTTTTTTAGTTAAACGAGAGTCAGATGGGGATTTGACCCTCTAAATTTCTAACTGTTTGGTTGAGAGTATTTGGGTTTAACAACTATAATGAGATTCCGAATATGAATGATTAGGTGGGAGATTTTGGTGGGTATGAACCCTAAACTCCAAAAACCCATAAAGAGTGGTTAGTGGTGGTGAGGGGCAGTGGCAGTGTCCTTGGCCCTCTCACCCATTAAGGCACCCTACCCCAAACCCACTTCTTCTCGTTGTTTTGTTTTCAAATGCCTTGTTTCTTTCCCTTCCTCGAATCATTCTTAATTCACTGCCATGCATTCATTTCAAACCCTTCTCTTTCAAATTCTTTCAAATTCTTCTTCTTTTTTAATCATTTTCTGTGGATGTTGAGCAGATTTTGGGGAGATTTTATTCATGGTTGTTTGTACTTTCTAGCTTTCGAGTTTTGAATCTTCTTCTTTTTCTTTTCTTACGTCTCGACTCGATTTTAATGTACGATCATCGACATGTTTCGTCTTTGCTTACATGTTTCTTAGAAGAATTACTTGAAGGTCGCCCATCAAACAAAGCTAAACTTTGAAGTTACGATCTTTTTTACTCAGCTATCACAACTATCCACCTAACCCCCATTTCATTACTCAGGTGTCTTACGTGTCACAATTATTCAGATTTTATCCATTTTGATCCGTTATGTATCACTATTAGCCTCCCACCCTTGCAATGAATGCTTCATTCTCCTCTCCAACTGTTCTCATTGGCACACCGCCCGATGTCTGACTTTGATACCATTTGTAACAGTTCAAGTCCACTACTAGTAGATATTGTCCACTTTGGTCCGTTACGTATCGATGTCAGCTTCACAATTTTTAAAATGCGTCTGCTTGGAAAAAGTTTTTCACTCTTATAAAAAAAATGTTTGGTTATCCTCTCCAACGTGGGATCTTACACTGATACAAATTCATTATTATTTATTTAGGTTTTCAAAATTTATTCTACAAATTGTTGTAGGTTAGAAAATCCCCTCCTTTTTCTTGTAAGATATTAAAATTTTCTCTCCTATACAATAATTTTAATCTCAAATTTAAAATATATTGGAAATAAATATCATATTCATATTTGGACAGAACTTTACGGTCTCCAACTTGGGCCTTAATTCATTATCCAGGGGCCCAACCAAACGGGCTTCACTACGACTCTAGTTGTAATGGGCTTAAATTGGGCCTAGGCCCATATTCATGCACCAGTTTAGTCTGGATTTTAAAAGCAGCCCAGAAAAAGACTAAATTGGACTGGGCTTGTATTGGGCTGAAGGCAGAAAGTCCACATGATCACGGCCCACATCTAAAGCATGTTTCGAGAGAATGGGCTGCATGGTAGTGGGCTTTATAGTTGTCGTGGGCCTGTATTGGGCCCAACCTACCAAACGAGCTTCTTCATGACTCTAGTTGTCGTGGGCTTACATTGGGCCTAGGCCCACATTCATGTTCCAGTTCCTTAGCCTGGATTTTAAAAACAACCCAGAAAAAGACTAAATTGGACTGAGCTTGTATTGGGCTGAAGGCAGAAAGTCCACATGATCACGGCCCACATCTAAAGCTTGTTTCGAGAGAATGGGCTGCATGGTAATGGGCTTATAGTTGTCGTGGGCTTATATTGGGCCCTACCTACCAAACGAGCTTCTCCCTGACTCTAGTTGTAGTGGGCTTTCATTGGGCCTAGGCCCACATCTAAAGCTTGTTTCGAGAAAATGGGCTGCATGGTAGTGTTTCAAAATTTGTTTTATTAAATATTAAATTATTTAATAATTATTTAACTATACTCGATAAAATATTGAATAAAAAATAAAAAGGGATCAAATATATGTTTCTCATAATGAAATATTAAAATTAGTTTGAAATATTAATTTTTGTGGTATCATATCAATTTTTTAAATTAATTAATTTTTAAAAATGAAGAAACTAAAATGCAATAAATATTATTTGGCCATTTTGTAAAAATATAATTCTTTTAATTAAGAAAAAGAAATAATTTAATTGAGATGGTCAACAAGAAATTGAAATTGTGGTTAAGAGATTGTGACAGTTTTTCTTATTTTGAATAAATGAATTGAATTTTGGTGTTTTTAAATTCAATCAAAACCTTCCATTTCATTTTACTTCCAATGAGAGTATCAATCATAACCACACCCCATAAAAACTTTCTCTCTCTCCTCAAGAGAGAGACCTTACTCTTGTTGATAATGCAGACATCTCCCATGAACATTTCTAGAGAGAGAGAGAGAAAAAAATTAAAATTTTTATCAGAAAATATAAATTCCAAATGAAATTCAAGTTTTGAACAAAAACCCGCCATTAAATAATTCCACCCACATTTGGAAATTTCGAAAATAGAAGCTAGCGGTTGGTTTTTGGACATGTACGAGAATACTTTTTCGACAATTTCTCAAACAAAAATTTAGAATTGATACATCAAAAGTTGAGTTAAGAACGTCCTGAAATAGTTCAGTTGAGAGGAATTTCTAGGTCATAAAAAGCGCAGTACACGTATATGAATCATCACGCCCAAGAAAAGCAAATTTTGATTGGTGTGGATATTGGATGAATGAGGGAAAAGGGTGCACAAAAAACAAGCAAAGGGAGGGAGAAAAGGCAAAAAAAAAGGGAGTTAGGGAAAAGAAGGTTGAGTTGAAGCACACTTCTAAGGCACCCAATTGGGGGAGCAAAGGCCATGTGGACGTGTGGGCTTCAATCCCTTATTGGGGACTTCACTTCAAGACAAACTTTTATACACATTTCTTGTTGTCTTCAACCACAAGAGATATCCAAAATGGGAAAGCCCACATAATCAATGATCAAACTCTCAAACCTCTAAAAAAAAGTTACTTTTTTAGGGAATTTGATGCAAATTTGAGAAGAAAAGGGATTTGATGGAAGTGTGTAAAGCACAGCAGATTGGTGGTGAAGGTGAAGAGAAAGGGTTCTTGTACTACAAGGAAAAAAAGTGCTTGAAAAAGACATTTTACCAATACCCATATCAGAAATGCATGATGTTCTTGAATAAATGAAGGTAAAAGAATGCCTCAAAATCCCTCTTCTCTAAGCTAAGCTAAAAAAAATGCACAAAATCATACCTTTCCTCTTTCTTTCTATTCCCTGAGGCATTTTCCCAAATGGGGTGGCTCCAATCCCTCTTCTCCCCATTGAAGAAGCTCTGGTTTCGCCTCCATTCTTCCCCCGAAAAACGTAAGTTCCTTCCCTTTTGAACTCGCTTTCGTTCATGTTTTTCGGCTGCAATGCCACCATTTCCAGCTTTGAAGTTCCAAGTTTTTTCATTTTCTGGGGTTGTTTTTCAATGCAGGAAGAGGGATATATATTCTGTATGAGGATGTAAAATCCTGTCCCTGTGAAGATGTGCATGTGCTTTGGTCAATCTTAGTGGAATCACACACTCCATACAACAAAACAATGAAACTTTCAGCCTCCTAAGCACACCTTCCCCACCAATGTACATAAAATATTTAAAAAAAACCTCAAAAATAAAAGTTTTCCTTCATCAATTTTCATCTTTTTTTGTTCTAAATTTTTGTGTAGCTGCTTACAGTTGCTTTGTCTATTTCAGCAGTTAAGGTGGCAGTTGAATTCTAAATATTATATGTTTAAGGTTTGATTCTGATAATGACATGAGACAACTATTGAATAGATGGGATAACCTAAAGATGTTCTTGGCTTAGATTGCCTGAAATAATACCAATGCCATGAATTGAATACTTGTTTGATTATATTTAATCTTTTCTTCATAAGTTCTGTAGAATATTGAGACTTGTAAGTTTGATATATAATAATAATGATGATGAAAGAATAGAACGAGCCATAAAAAGGATGAATCTAGTGGTTTGAAATCTTCATCTTACAATAAAGTGGCATTTGCTTCATTATATGGTAAGGTTGCTCACTCATCCCAATCTTGCAAATGAAAGATATTCCCAACAACAAGCTTAAGAACTTTAGTTGCATCAATTTGTAGTTTGGAATGAACTTGTTGAACATGACTCGAATATATAAATCTAACCGATCAGCAAACGATCTCTCGAAATGTCTCATTATCATACTACGATAATAAATGAGTATCGTAAAACTTCAATGAACTGATATTTCACATCGTTTCTACCATCCTCCATGGATTAAAACTTCATACTCTAATATCATGATCAATAATTCTAAAAATTTATTCTTGTCAGATGCAACGTTGTTTCGTTTTAGATCCCTAACTGGAACATTATTAGAGTGTCACAATGTATTGGAAGAAAAAAAGGACTCTTACTTCAAGTTTCTGTCATCTTGAGTCCTTTTTCAAAGAATCGGCAAACATAAGCCTTAAAAAGCTCCTTTTGCTTAACAATTTTCAGTCTGGAATTATTTTTCATGACATGGAAGGCCTGCTCTCTGACACCATGAAGCGAAGGATAATGTTTAAGAAACTACTCTGCTTGAAGTTTGATAATCTAACAAAATGCCTAAACCTGCAAAGAATAAAACATAAAATTTTGAGTAACACTTCTTTTGGTAATGTCTTGTTCAACCGCAGAGAGGCAAAAAAAAAAAAAAAAAA